CATCACTTTGCACTGGCTAGTGATAGGCAAAGATCATTTTAATTGGCACTACACTGGTAAATAGATGCCTCAATTGGTTTAACAATTGTGTTCTTATGCGGAGGAAGCTTCTTTTGCAGTTTTGCATGGTAGAACCTTTTTCATAATGCAGTAACAGAAGTCACCAGTAAATCCTAACCAATGGAGAGAGCCCAAATTAATTTGGTTTTATTATTTGAGATGTATGGCTGTCATATTTTAGAGTTATTATGTCTTAGAATACCTCTTTGTAACTAGAACTGTATACCAAAGAACCACATCCTGAAGTACAGATGTAGTGTTGACAGGCAGTGGCCAGCAATTTTCATCCCTTTATTAGACAGAGGCAGCAGCAAACACTTTTACTCTTTATATACATTAAAATGAAATGCTGTGTTTTTTTTTCTTTAATGTTTTCTTAACAGTTTCACTACTTCTGTTGAATAGTTTCTTCTCAATCTGAATGATTTTAGGTATATGTAGTTGTGTTACTTAAGTCATTCTGAATATAATTATACTTCCTTTTTGAACTCTGGACTTTGCCCATAGATAACTAATAAAAATGTTTTGGAATATAGCCTGTGGCTCATATTATAAAATAATGAAACCTGTATTCATTCTAAACTTTCTATCTTTTGATAGAAGAACTGCTTATGGGGGGCAGGAATCACTAGTAACCTTGCCAATTTTCTGTAGAGTTATTTAAACAACACTTCACATTGGGGTATTTTTTCTTTCACAACTAATCTAATTTTTTCACTCAAAATTTAGAATTTTTGATTATAAAGTAATGAATTTAGACTACATTGGTCTTTGTTGATTTCACTAAAGAAAATTACAAGTCTTGGTTTCTAGATTTTGTTTCCCTATTGAGATGTTAACTGTAGGTGAATAAATAAATTTTCTTCAGTATTTCTAGGATTAGATGGAAAAATATGTTCCTTACTTTTCACACCTCCTAATTATAATTTCTCTACCAGCTTTGCTACAACAATAAGGCCTGACTCCAGACATTAAAAAAAAAAAGTGAAAAGTGGACACTGTTTCATATTTTCTCTTTGGGCTGAATCATTAAAGTTGCTGATATCCATCTCTAAGATATTTGCATCTTATTTGGTATTTGTGCTTATTTTTATACAAAAATAAATTCTTATTTAATATTTGAATATTCTGGTTTTTAAAATATTTTCCTGCTTCTAGTCTATATAATAATTTGTTGGAGAAATTGAATTTAGACCCCATATTGGTAGACTAGTATGTTAGCTTTTCATTAAAATGCCAAAGAATTTTATTTTAACCTGGAAGTTAATATAATGCTAATATAATGTCATTTAAATTTCCCAAATATCTCTTGCTATATTAAACTGAACCCTCTGTTTAGCTCACCAAGGACTCCCTCTGGGAGGCCTTGTAAAGTTCTCAGAAGACTAGTAGTTTAATTTCCCAATTACCTGTTTGCCATTTCTTTCTGACTATTGTAGCCTTTTTGAGATTTTGGGGTTGAACTAAAGTTTTCATTTTTAATGTTGTAATTAAATTCACAATAATCTTCTGCTTTGTTGTTTCTTCTTTTAGATTGCAAAGAAATGCTGAGAAGTAAATAAAACTTTCCTCTTCCACCTTGGACATTTATCATGGGTATCGGGAAATCTAAAGTAGGGATCTGCCCTTTTTCTCTCTCTTGGGGTAAAAGCCACAGTGTTTATACAAGTCAAGACCATCGTGAGTCAGAGCCCAAGAAATTGGAAGACATCTCCTTGGGTGATGTTGTGGAGCAGAACAATACCACAGAGGAGCAAATAGGTGGGCAGGAAGGAGCTGAGTCGAGGGAAGAAATTCCTGAAGTGGAAGCAGAAGAAGAGGTGTTCCTTAAATTTGTGATACTGCATGCAGAAGATGACACAGATGAAGCCCTCCGGGTCCAGAATCTGCTACAAAATGACTTTGGTATCAAGCCTGGAATCATCTTTGCTGAGATGCCATGTGGCCGACCACATTTACAGAATTTAGATGATGCTGTCAATGGGTCTGCGTGGACAATCCTATTATTGACTGAGAACTTTTTAAGAGATACCTGGTGTAATTTTCAGTTCTATACATCCCTAATGAATTCGGTGAACAGGCAGCACAAATACAACTCTGTCATACCTATGCGGCCCCTGAACAGTCCCCTTCCCAGGGAAAGGACTCCCTTTGCTCTGCAAACCATCAACGCCTTAGAGGAAGAAAGTCGTGGCTTTTCTACACAAGTAGAAAGAATTTTTCAGGAGTCTGTATATAAGACACAACAAACTATATGGAGAGAGACAAGGAATTTGGCACAAAGACAATTTATTGCCTGAGATGAAACACAGAACACATGGCGGGCTCCTGTTTAGTTGTAAGCCAAATGATTAATCTTCTCTTGAGAAAGCAATTTCTGAGAAATGTTTTAATAAAAGAGCCTGCCCTTACAGAAACCTGTGGAGCACAAGAAACATACATTTCTGCTGGATCATCTGTAGAATTGTGGTACTCTTTGATGTTTCAGTGAACTCAAGAACCTTCCTCTCATGGTTTTCCTTGTTCACAGATATGACAAAAGATATTCTCATTTCATATTCCTTGAATCGAGCCTTGAACAAAAGCACATATGACAGATATTTTCAAAATGTGACACCACTTCAGTCTCTGAATTTTGTTCTCAAAAGACACATAAAAGAAAATGACCCCAAGAAGTCTGACCACCCTCCTTTTGAGGCACTTGTGAATGTTTCAAGAAAGCATTCCAGGAACTGAGACCCAGAAATACTGGTTGCCAGAATAGAACATTTAGAATGTTGAGTGCTGATGAATGTGAAATCAGAAATAGATGTGAGAATGGGAGGGTTTTTAAAAAGAATACAGTCAAATGTGTTTTTTCTTTCTGCTGGAATTTGCATATTTGGAGGCAATTCCCACCACTGATTAACAGTCCTTTTGACAGTGTGGTCTTTAGAGACTCCATGGAATGGTGGTAGGACTCCATAGTGTGGCAGTTAGGGACTCTGGAGATGTGCCTGGCCCCAGACTCTCCATGTTAGTCACCATCTGTAACCAGGGTTTTATTTTCAGAGCTTCTGAAAAGCATGATTGTGTGTGATTAGCGAGATATTCTCGTTTAAAATCAATAACCGCTCTTATAATAGTCTTTTAGAAGTTTTCTTCACCTACAGTGTTCTACTCTGTGACCTGACTCTGTGTGTGTGTGTGTGTGTGTGTTTCTGATTATTTTTAAAGGCTTAAGGGAGAAGTAGAAATGTGTTTTATCACTTCTGCTTGTAATGCCTCATGCTCATACAAGCCAAAGAGACCCCAAACAGACCTATCCCTTTTCCTCACAGCCCTTCTGCCCATCCGACATTGTGGGAGTGCCACCAAGTACAGATGGGGGATGAAATGAGAAAAGCATTCATGGCGGGCAGGAGACATGATTCTGGCCCAATCTCTGCCACTAAGGATGGATGTGACAGGGAACAAGTTACTTACTCTCCTTTAGCCGTGAAATCAAAGTTGGATTGATGGCCTCTAAAGGCTTTTGTCCCCTCCTCGTTGTGAAAAACTAGGCCGCAAAAAAGGGAATAAGCAGGGCTGGTGTTGTAGCTCAGTAGTTGAGTGCTTGCCTCACATGTGTGAGGCACTGGGTTCGATCCTCAGCACCACATAAATAAATAAATAAATAAATAAAGCAAAGATATTTAAAAGAAAAAAAAGGAAACAAAGCACAGAGAATTTCACAAGGTATTTTATCATAGTTGCAGAAGGCATTGTGTATGCCTACAATAAAGGGTATTTTTATATTTTTAGCATTTTAGTGCTGTCCATTAAACTTTCATAGTCATATATTTCTCAAGTATTTTTTTAAATACTTCTTTTAGAATATTTATATTTTAATTAGAGGTGGACACAATATGTTTTATTTTTGTGTGGTGCTGAGGATTGAACCCAGTGCCTTATGCATGCTGGGTGAGCACTCTATCTCTGAGACACAAGCCCAGCCCTGGAAATACATTTTTATAGGGCCCCTTGAGCAAAGGCATTCTTTGTCTAATTTTTCTTTCACCTTATCCCCAGTTTTCTGTATCCCCTGCTGGTACTGGGCTTACTCACATCTTCTTGCAGTTCACCTCTTCCCAGCCACAGTCCAAATGTGAGTAAATCAGACCTCCTGTTCTATTAGTGCGTATTAAAGGACGAGATTATTTTCATTGCGTCGTGACATGTTCTCAGCCTTAATGTCTCTTTTTGTTACAGTAGCTTACTACTCGCTTTTCTTTTTCAGTTTTTTAATAAGTATTAACTTTTTTTTGCAATAATGCTTCCTGTATCTCAAATTTCACATCATAATAAAACATTAACCACCCACCCTTTATGCCTGCTGAACTGGAATTGATTCTGGATAGTATTTTTTAAATAAATGTTTTTATCCTTTATCCTTGACTGAACTTGATTATTTCTAGCTCCAATAAAGACTGTGGAAAAGTGTTTTGAAGAGAAGCATCAATCTGTACTCCTCCAGAGAGCACCAGGCACAATGTCTCAGCCAATTTGGAGTTCGGTATTTTGTTAGAGTGAAGCAAAATGTTAATGCTAAATAACTGTATTGCTGAAATTAAATTGAGCTGGACATAGTGATATGCACCTGTAATCTCAGCGCTCAGGAGGCAGGAGGAACACAAGTTTGAGGCCAGCTTCAGCAACTTAGTGAGTTCCTGTCTCAAAATAAATAAAAAGGGTTGAGGATGCAGCTCAGTGGTAGAGCACCTCTAGGTTCAATCCCCAGCACTTAAAAAAAAATGTAGCTACTCAGAAGACTGAAGCAAGAATATCACGAGTTTGAGGCCAGCCTTAGCAATTTATCTAGACTTTCTCAAAATAAAAAAGGCTAGGGATATAAGTGGAAGAACACTGCTAGATTCAATACCCTATGAAAGAAGGGGAAAAAGAGAGAAAAAATAACAATTATAAAAAGAGAATATCAAGTAGCAACTTGGAAGAAGACCTGGCATGCCTAAGGTCTTTGGGAAACAGAGGATACTTGATTTCTTTTGCCTTCCTTTGCCTACATGCATGTTTAATTCCCTCTAGATGGATCATATCCTTAATTCACAGCTGAATTTGCCATCTTTTGACATAGAAAAATTAAAAAATAAAAAGAGAATATCAAAATAGCTAAACCAAGGCTGAAAAGAGGTAAAGGTGTGTGCTTCTTCATGTTTGTGTATCCATGTGCACATGCATAGATATAAATAAACACACATGCAGAAATTCTAGGGAGCTTTCATTTTGAGCACTCTGTGACTGTGGCCCATCCTGGAACTTCACCAGAATATTCTTAATGCTGCTTAATTGTACACTTAAAAAATGATTAAAATGGTAAATTAATCCATGAAACACAGCTGAAGGCATCTGCATCTGACCATCCTTCCCCTGGACTGGCTTCAAAGCTGACACTGCTAGGCTCTGTTTTCCTGCTTCTCTAGTTTATGGCCCAACTTTCCTAAGTTGTTAGAGGTATGAGGCCATGCTCCCTTCTCCTCCGTGCCACCAGATTCCTCCACACCACACCCACATTAAAGCTCACACACCTATTGCCCATCATGGGGCATCTAATGGTAATTGTAAGTTGTGTTTATGTATTAGTTTGGAAAACCCAATGCCACATGGCCTAAACCATAGATACAGTTACCAAACTTAACAAGATTTTTTCCAGGTATGGCAGCTTAAAAATGACATTCAAATCCAAGTTCTTAACATGCAATGGAATATACACAGACTTAAAAAGGAATAAAATTATTATGCATGCTACAACATGGATGAACCTTGAAAACATCATGCTAAGTCAAATAAGCCAAACACAAGAGGATAATATTGTATGATTCCACTTACATGAGGAAAATTCATAAGACAGATATATATTAAGTTACCAGGGGCTGGAGGGGTAGAAATAGGGAGTTGTTTTTTAGTGGGTACATAGTTTCAGTTTGGAATGATAAAAAGTTTGCCGAAATATGGTATTTGCACAACACTGTGAATGTTCTGTATACACTGGAGTTTGGGCAGAAGGAGTATACCATTTAATGTAGCCCCTTTGTGGGCTCAACAACTCCAAGATAATTTTGCCTCATTTGGAAATGGGCTGAAGTTTACAATCTTTCCCTTGGGTTGGACAGTTGGGAGGAGTGAGAGAAGCACAGATCTGCTTTGCTCCTTGTTTTCCCATCTAACTTCATTTCTACCCAGGATTCAGCAGGTTGCTTGCCTGGGTCAATCCTTTCCAAGGCAATTCAGGGCTGTTTTCTATCTAGGTCCTTTGCCCTTCGCCTTTGCAATTGCAAGGCTATTAGTTGGTCCTGGAATGGACCTGAAATCTTCTTACTGCACAGGGTGCAACACCACTGGTTATGGAAGCAACTTTTTTGTACTATCTCATCCTCTGCAGCTCAATCCTAAACCCCAAGCCCAGTTGCTCAGTGTGGACTTTGTTCCAAAGTCAGAAAAAGCCAATCTTCTCATCTGCAGGTAGCAATTACAAAATTACACACAGGTGAGATTTTGCCAAGCCATCTCTGCCCAGCAGAAGATCCTGCAAAAAGAAATCAAGGTGCTTTCCCATACTCCTTGTGGGGGAAATCTGAAGCCCAAGTGCTGGAGGACAGAGGGTGCACAGTTCAGGTTCTTTGCCTGTGCAATTTGCAGATAGAAAAAATCTCAGTGCAGACAAAGAAACCACATGACACACTGTTGAATTAGGCTGTCTCCAACTTTGGGTGAAGACTGTTGGTCTGTTATGGGGTGGGGCTGGCCCTATGAGAAGCTAACCACAGGACCGCACTGCTGTGAGGTGGGAGGCAGTTCACTGTAGTAATCAGTGCTGCCTCTGTAGCTTTCCTCCTCTTCATTCAGGTGACTGGCCGCACTGTCACAGAATGTGACTTTACCCTCCCTACTGGTCTGAAGAGCAAAAAGGAAATTTCAGAAATCTGCCAAGCACTAATGAGAGCATCTGGAAATGGGTGCCCTTCAGCTAATGATTAAAATGAAGAGAAGAGGACCAATGTCATCGTCCACAAACCTGATGTTCCTTATAAGATCCAAATGGAAAAATATATATTCAAAATTTTGAACATTTAGAGTCTGGGTAAGAACAACATTCATATATGTGTATTACATATCTATATAACATATATTTTTTTCAACATTTGTGTGTGTGTGTGTGTGTTATTCCAAATCATATTTGGCAAATCTCATTGACAATTAACTCATTAAGTTTTAGTGGGGGTAAATAGTATTTGAAAATACCATTAGTAATAACTCAGAGCATGAAAAGTACTTGATTAAAACTTCCAACAGGTTAACTTGTGAAAAATAAAAATAAAGACTGTGGGTCTCCCTCCTTTGCCAGTGTGTTGGCTCTCACAACTGTTTACTCCCACATCTGTCCTCTTTCACAGCTCCCTTCCCTTCTGGCATGAGCAAGAATGGTTCTGGGGAAATTTATTCTTTATTAAGTATAGCACTGTCCTTGTTCTCTTCAAACAAAATGGGTTGTGAGTCATTTTACGCTGAGGTGAATAAATAGGAATGCTTTTAAAATTAGCAAATAACAGGAACCTGCACTTAAGCAGTTTCATAATCTAATTAGGAATGTTCCTTCCAGCTATTTTGTTCAAAACTACGGGTTTAAAACAAATAAATCTCAGTAAACTAGTTGTTCCTGGGGGATTTTTATTGGGTATATTGTACAGGACACATGACCAGATTTACAGATTTCTGTATGTTTATTTATACTTATAAATAACACTAGCACATAAAAATGTTCTAAAATTAGATTGTGGGAGGGTTGTACAACTCTGCAAATACACTGAAACCACTGAGTTGTCCATTTACAGGGCAAATTTTATGGTATGTAAACTGTATCTCAGCAATGAAACTAAAAATATATATACAGAAGCAACAACAACAACAAACACTAGAGTGATTTGGAAACACAATTTGGCAATGGCTAGCAATGTTAAAGAGAGGCATATCCTAAGAACCTAGAATTCTACCTTAGAGAAACTCTCACAGAAACCCAAAGAAGCACATATAAGGAGAATGCTTATGGTAATATTCTTTGTAATAGTGAAAAACTGGAAACAATCTAGGTGACCTTCAGTAGGAGAATGCAGAAATACATGATGGTAGGTTCATATAATGGAACACTATAGAATATTCTAAATAATCAGCAAAACTACATGTATGAACCTGGGTAAATCTTGAAAACATAACTAGTGTAGGGGGGAGTATATTATAAAATTATATAGACAACCTGATACCATTTTCAAAGTTTTAAAATATGATACTATTTTAAATGAATATATACATTGGTGATGATAAACATTATTTGTCATGATTTCCTGTATGTTTGAAATAGTTCATAATCATTTTTTTAATTAGCACACACTTGCAGTTAAGTGCTATAGATGTGCCTTACACATGCAGTGATTTGAGGAATAAAAAAAGATAAATAAATTAGAGAAATATGCTGGTAATAATATGTCTCTTTTTAAAAATCACCTACTATGTCAGTTGCTTCACTTACATTATCTTCAAAATTACCCATATTCCTGTGTGGTTAGTCTTATTATATCCAATATATGTCCCAGGAACGAGCTGGAGAAGTAATGTCCCTTACATCACAGGCAAGAGGATGATGGAGTCATGGAAATAGCCAGTGGTCTGACCAAAAAGCCTGATGGGTTTTATGCTCTGTCATTCAGCATCCCAATTGCCGCAGTCTGGCTGGGCACACAATCACGAGCCACCACACAGCTTGTAGATTCAAACAGCAACTCTTTATTCCCGAACTCACACCAGCCGTCTACAATCACGTTCTGGGGAAATCCACGTTCTCTGCCCAAATCCACTCCACTGGGCTTCTATCTCCCAAAATATATTGTCTGAATCCCGTGAGAACTCAAGGGGAACTCAGGCAGCAGGATACGCCCTATTCCCAGCAGGAATAATCTTAAACCTTAAACCTGGAACCTAAACTGGGAACGCCCTAAACCCGATTATCCTAAACCGGGAACACCCTAATCCGCCCTGGTCCTTGAGCAAGGTCACCTACATTCAATGTCACTGCAACATGGGGTACGCTGGCAAGGAAATTGTCATACCTACTTGGCTAATGGCTCTCAGCACCCAATGTCTGCTTTTCCTGAGGATCTTAAAAGTTATCAGGAGCGTGGAGAGAACCAGAGCAATTTCAAAGTGAGAACCAGATAGAGCATGGTGAGGTTGCCCTAACTTTAGTCTTCTTTGTCTAGTCCAGGTAAGTCATGACTGGGAGTCAAGAGCTAGTGTCCTAATTCCACTGTGCTGGTGTCTAGCTAACTCTTCTAGTTTTCAGGTTCTCCTTCAGAAGACTCAGAATGTGGCAGGAGCTTTCTAACATTTTCCAGCTATCTTATTACTTCTGAGTTTTAAGAACTAAGTCTCCATCAATTCTACAATGCCTTCCTTCTTTTGTTGTGCTTTCTTCTTGTCAGCTTTTGAACAAGCTTCTCTATCACCAACTGCATGGCTTTTGCAAATAGGAGTATCATAAACATAAATCTCTCCCAGTGCATCCTCTCCACATCTAGGGGAAAAGAGGATGGCAGTGTCCTTTGGCTCTGAACAAGAAGCCCACTAGGCTTGGCATGGTCATTTAAAGGATTCCTGTTTTGTTTTATTTATTTTTTTCTTCTCTCACACTAGATGATACATATGTTAAACAAAACACTTCTTTGATTTAAAGGGATGGATAAAAATGAGGGGAACAGGATAAGGAGAACTAGTGTTTATTTCAGGAAAACTAGTGTTGTATATGGTTCCTGTTGTATGTGCTCTTTTGTATTTTCAAAAGAAAAAATGTTGGTCAGCAAAGCAGGAAACATTGACTAAAGGAAACGGAGATTATACACTGTGATCTGTGAGCTTCAGAATTGGATAAATGTAGCAAAATTTATTTTTCATGCTCACATCATACTCTATGTAAACCTATGACACAGGATGCCATGTGTTTGATGAGAGCACAGTGGAGTAGCC